TAGGAGGTTTTAAAATTATTTTTACATTCATTCAACAAAATGCCAAAAGGTGAAGTTACATTTTAAAATGTTTATTCAGGAATGTGATTATCTGATTAGAAAAGCTCACATGAAATCCCCAGATCACTGAAAAGAGTATGTTCTCTAGACTATTATGTATAATATTTTATTTAAATTATGAATAAAACTGGCTTTCAGACTTTTAAAGGAAGTGATAATGACAAAATAATCTTGTTTATATTTATCTTTAGGTTTTTACATACAGAGTTTTTATAAAGTTTTTATAAACATTTACCATGCTGCACTTTTGTGTGTATTTATGCATTTATTTCTTAAGACATTTTATTTAAAAAGTTATTTATTTGTGGGCCATTTCAAGTGATGTTATATAATCTTTTTGAAAATGAAATTACTCTCATTCTCTTTGACAAAAATCCAGTGTTGCCTTACAATCTTCATATATTTAGGAAGAGTGTTGTTTCTTTAGACAACATTGAATTTAGTATTTGCTCATCTCTTCCACACCAAGGACTTCAACAGCAAAACGTCAGCTAAAGTCAACACTCCCAGGAAAAAATTCTTGATGGGCTTTTATTTAAAACAACAAAAACAGCAACGCGTATTGTATCAAGAATTGAGTAGTTAGTAACCAAGGGTAAAATTTTAGTATGGAATCCTTTCTTTGTTCTTAAGTTCTCTCTTCTTCATTGTGCTTAAAACTTACTAAATTTTCCTTATTATTTTCTGTTCCTTTCAGTGTCCCCACCCCTTAGTTTCCTGATATCATACCCATATCTTTTCTCACTTTCTTAAATATGTATAGTCCTTTTGTTTAGTTTTTAGCTGCTCTAAGTACTTCGTTTGGTGGCTTCCCTTGGTTCCTCTCAACTTTGTTCTCTCTCGGTTGTCTCCCGTGCTCGTGACCCCACTATAGCTACGCATTTACAGATTCAAACCTCAGAACCAGCACATTTCAGTGTTCCACTTTCTGAAAGTAATGACTTCCTAATGATGATTTCAGTATCAAGCCTTTCAAGTCTTTTCTCTTTCCTAAAAGGAGAAGCAAGAATATGCCATAGCTGTGTTGAAACCATGTTTGAGCAGTATTGCTGGCTTTATGTATATGTATGTGCCACCTAAAACTGGAATTATGGACGACTGTGCCTGCCTCGTTATCACAGTAGAAGTGATTAGTATGGGCTGAGAGGGTTTGATATTATGTCAGCACTGTAAACAGATGGATGGTGCAATAAGGATTTTGTCCTCTTTGTACTGATGAGGTGTTATTTTTGGACATACTGGCTGCATTTCAACTGCAACATGTGAAAAAGGAACCCACATGTGCCTCTGTAATGTTTATGTTTATATATACATATATAATATGCAAGGTTCCAAATAAGATAATCTATAGTCCAAAGATTTGGTTTATCTTTCCCAATTTTTATGAGCATTTTCTATATTTTGGCACGAGCTCATGCAAAAGCTATGTAGTTCTCAAGTATTTGACAGTACCAAGGAGCTAGTAATATTTGGTCTTCATAGTTGTCTAGTATATACAACAGAATTATAAAAGGAACACTCTTTGTTGTTGTAAAGCAGCTAAGGATTAAATATTTTCCTTGCAGATACCTGTAAAAGGTGGACTGCTGTTTGAAATCTGGGGAGGTCTAAGCACGTTGCAAAGCTCAGAGAAGCTTGATGCTTCAGAAGCTATCTCTCTGCAAATAAACTTTATGTTTCTCACCTCCTATATTGTCATAATCTGTTAAAGTAGTCTTTTGTTTACATTATAAAATGTTTCTACAATGATGAATTATATCTAAGCCCTTGGTTTGTAAATCTGTCTAAGTAGAAACCTTATGTCTAAGTAGATAGGAGGAGAAAAATTTGCGGGAAATGGTCACTATTTCCAAATGAGAATTTCGGATATAATAACAGTAAAAAGAGAAATAAATCAGGAATATATTTGAAGTTAGTTTTTGGTAACATGTGCTTAATGACATTTTATCATTTTAATGATACAACAGTTAGGATATTTTATGAAAGTAGTCTTTCATAAAATAATTTCTGTATGGATATAACATGCTAATAGGAAACATCTTCATGGATGGCCCTCGAGATAATCATGCTAAGCAAAATAAGCCAGAGAAAAAAAGTTGAAAATCACTTATCACTTATATATGAGATATAAACCTAAAAGCAAGAAATTAACAGGACAAACAGAGACTCATGGTCATGGACAATAGACTAGTGGTTACCAGAGAGGAAGGGTAAGGGGGGAAGGGAGAGGTAGACAGAGTAAAGAGGGTTAAATATGTGATAACAGAAAGAAATGTAACTATGGGAGGTGAACACACAGTGTAAACATATATATGCCTTACTGTTAGTATATAGCTGAAACTTACTGAATTTTGTTAACAAGTGTCACCATAAAAAATTAATTAATTAATTTCATTAAAAGAAAAGAAACATCTTACAGTGTTCTACAAAGAAATTAGATGATAATGCTGGGACCCAAATGAAAACTGTTCTAGTTAGAAGACTGCGCAATGCTAACAGCTTTTTCTAAAGGTAGTTCAGTTTATGGTGATTCTTCAACTTTGTTTCTTAGTGTCTGAGAAGATTAAAAAATCACTTCTCAGTTTCATTGTATAAAATGAAATCTTGTTATTTAGAATTCATGCAGTAAATATTTTGGATGATTCATTTTTATATTTTCTAATTTTTATTTTTTTTATGGGTCAGTAATTATGTTAGTGTAGAAGCAAAACAATAAAACAGCAACTCATTTCTTTTTTTCGTTGATCTGTCTGGTACCATTGTTGACATATTTTCTTTCTTTTCTCATTGTTGCAGGATAAAATTTCCTTGCACTTCTGCCTATGTATGTTTTGAATGGAGCTATAATTTATAATCTATATAGAAAGGTTCGAAAGAACACATTTTCTTCCTTTAAGTGTATGCTTAAGTTTTGGAGGAATAGCAAACCAAAATCTTTTATTAAACAAAGAATGAAATAGAACAATTTAATATAATTTTAGCCATTGTTCTTATAATGAAGCTGAAAAAAAGCTTTGGGTTTTCATATACTAGAACAATAATGTCTATGTTAGCTTTGTCAAATTAGATATAACCAAAATGAGTCTATGCCCATGCTACGCTGAACAAGCCTGATCCTGTCTAATCTTGGAATCTAAGCAGGGTCGGGCCTGGTTAGTACTTGGATGGGAGACCACATGGGAAGACCAGGTGCTGTAGGTGTCAAAAAATTTTTGAAAAATAAGGGATTGCAAGTTTACAAGGTCCTTGCAATCTGTGAGGTCAACCAAGGGTTGCCTCACCTAAAAAACAAAAACATAGATGTAACTAAAATGATCTGTTAGAGTCTAATTCTCTCTGTTAAGGCTAGACTCACATATGCTAATAGAACTTGTGGGCCATTATGGGCCCCGGCAGTAAGCATCCACTAAATAGTTGTTGAATTTATGAGTGAATAAGTATAAGAATAAATTATATTCATGCCCAGTAATAAAATGCCAAACCCATTAGTCTATGTTGAATTTTGGATTATTATCATTATCATTTTTATTATTATTATTATCATTAAATTTTGCTCATTAAAACTTAAAAGAACGATAATGAACTTAGACAGTTATTATCATTAGCTTAGATTAAACAAAACAGTCATAGACAATTTAAAATTTCCAGAATAAGTTTTTGCTAAAATTATTCTCTGAAAGGAACATTGTAGAAGTTCTGTATATTATTTTGAGAAAAAAAGTTACTGTCACTGAGAGTTAAGTTATTATCCAGTTGTTAGAAATGAATTATATTTAATAATGTGGTAATCGGGTGTGGGAAGTTGGAGAACTTTGTGCCCTTTTTTAATGCTCATGAGGATGTTATGGTAACTCTTGCACTAAATATGAACGTTTTCCCAGTATTGTTGCCAGGTAATATTATGCTTCCAGATTATGATAGTGCTGAATGAGGCTTAGATTATGAAATTGTAGAATTCTAGAGCTGGAAAGGATGTTTAAGATTATCTAATCAAACTTCCCATTATTTTATAACTGAGGAAATTGGGACTTGTAAATGCAGGATGGGTCAAACCAACAAAATGAATGTTTTTAATAGGTTGTATTTATACAGTTTTAAGTAGATAATGCTTTGCATACTGAACTTGTCTTTTAAAAGATTTTATGTAAAATTGCTCATAATTTTTAGGTTTCTGTCGCCTCTTTTC